CTTCATGGTCCTACTTTTTCACTCGGCGGCTTCTTTTTTTAAGACATCCATTTCTTTTATCACTCGTTCGCATAGCCATGACGTACTCCTCTCTAGATCTAATCGGTCGTTCTTGGTTGACCCTATCTTTTCTTTTCAATTCCTCTACTCGAGTGCTCAAATGACGTATTACATCCGATTGGTTAGCCATTTGAGCTCGTGTTATGTCTCTAAATTCCTTGAGGCTATCCTTCTCATCTCTAAGCTTGTCAATAACTCCCTTTGTTAATTGGAGTTGGCTACGAAACTTCTTGTTTCCTTCCTCTAAAGCCTTCATCACATGATCTTTAGTATTTAGAATTTCCTCTAACTTCCTCTTCTTTTGAGCTAGTTCAACTACTTGAGTATTTAGGTCTTCGTTGAGTAACTCATGTTGAGCATTCACTTCTTGACGAACATCCTCCATTGTCTCATTCATCGGTCGAGATGGGCCCTTGAATGGTGGCACACGGTATCCTTTCCCTCTAGTGCTTTTCCATTTCGGATATCTAGGTGAGGTTCTTCCATCCATTCTTCTTTCGAAGTGACAATCCCTCTATTTCTCTAAGCAATCCTAACTTCCTCTAAAAACTTTTTAGAGACCCTCGGATCCTCTTAATACTTATTTAAATCGGTCATCCTTGGAATGAATTGCTCGAACCCCAACTCGTTTTAAAAACATATTTGGACGATGAATCGATGTGACAACGAGCTCTAATTAATGGCACCCAAGGAAATTTGCCACAAAAGGCCGTGTAACTTCAAAAGAGGGCATATTGTGCTCTCCAATGAAATTTTGACTTTTCTAAAGCGAAGAATAATTCGGCCCACATTGTCTTGCTTAACTCATTGAGGGCGTGACAAGCAAAATTCTCCAACTTAGAATGCACGTGCTATGAGGTGTGAAAAATACCGGAGGCTTCCCCAATCACCACATGGCTCACAGTCCATACAAACAACAACCGCACACAACACCTCAAATGCCCATCTCCTTTTCTTCGATAGAAATTTAATGAAGAGAGGGGTTTGGCTAGGATTGCTTGCGGTGGGATTAACCTTTAGAGATACCACACTTTTAAATACGTTGATCGCCTCTACGTCGATCATGCTCTCGCCGATGGTAATAACACCAATCCATATATTGCTAGGGCCAAGATTCGAAGTCTAATTTAGTTACTAGGATCTTGTAAATGCTTCATGAATTCCGCTTGAAGGATGTCCCAAAACCAACATTGAGATTTTTCCCTTTGGGTTAGTTACTTATTGGCTAAAGTGGTGTTAGTCCCAATCAACCATGCAAAGTTTGATGGAGCATGTTCGAGTGAACTGTAGAAGTAGATAGCCTCTGTTTTGGAAAATGCTAGTAGAGCCTCATATTCCTCAAGTGTAGGTGACAGGTCTACACTCCCAAAGGTGAAGCAATAGTAATCTGGATCCCAATGGCCTATCATGGCTTGAAAGTATGTAGTCCGAGCCTTAATCTTGAGTAGATAAGCTATGTCCCCATATGTCTTATGGAAATCAAGTTGGTCCTTGGAAGTGAGCATCTCCCAACAAGCGAGAAGAGGACTAGTGTTGGCCATCCCGTTAGCTAATTTAACCTTTTTTGGTAGTTTCGACACGAAATTCAAAGGCGGACAATCTCCTTCCTCATTTTGGGCCCACTCGGATCCGACCCTAAAATCCTCGATCTCATTTCGATTTCTTCGTCATGATTTAATATGAAGGATAACTCTGTAAAACCAAGGGTTAGTATCGCCATTTATTTGATAATAATTCGTGTCTTAATCGAGTCAACCCTAACGAGATAGGATCTAGTTTTTCTATAGTTGGGCGAAGTTTGACTAGTCCTAATGATTTTTCAAGTCTTTAGATTGCCTAAATTACCGGTGGGGTAATCTAGCTTCTAACCTTATACGTTAGAAGGTAGAGGAAGGTTATTCCACCATTTTCAATGCATAGGGTGAGTTTCGGTCTAAACGAGAGTTTGGAAGAGCATCGGTAGACTTTCGTCATGCTCGCCTCTAAATCACTCTATCTAATTCCTATTAAGGTTCGGCTCGGGTCCGAGCTTTTAGGGGTTTTCTTCGTGGTGTGTGCAACGGTTAAAAGAAAAGGCATACAACCCAATTCAAAATAAACGTGCAGCAAAAAGAAAAAAAAATAAATGACAAAATTTTAAATATATACACAAATAAATAAATAAACAAAATTCAAAAAATAAAATGACAAAAAATAAACATAGGAGATAAATTAAAAACTAAACCTATGGCCTAACTCTAGTCCCCAGTGAAGTCGCCATTCTATCGCTACACGACGTCGGACAGGACCCCCAAAAAGAAAATTAAGGTTTGAGCATTAATTATTTACAAAAAAATTATTTATAGAGTTTTGGAGTCGCCACCTAGTATTTAAGGAACTAGGAACCTAAAAGTAGCACTGTTTCGGAGATTCCTAAGGTAAGGAGTTGGTTACACTTTTAGGAAGATATTTAATCATCTAAAAGCGCCTTTTTCGAAAAAAGGTACCATGTACAATTTAATTCTAAATTATCTCCTAAAATCCATGCGAAGCTATTTTCTAAATTTTAATCTCCTATTTTCTTTTAGACTAAGTGAATTTTTTAGTTTTAGGCATGACATAATATTGAAACGATTGTCGGTCCCCTTCGTTGGGTGACACATCGATTCAAACATCGGATCCACTAAAAACCTTGACACAAGCGGCGTGTCGGAGGACGTCTTAATTAAAAGGTGATTTTGATGACGTCGGCCCCTATCAAATAGGTGGCTTCATCAAAATTTTTGAATTTGGTGACGTCGGTCCCTATTAGATAGGAGACTTTGTCGAATTTATTTATTTATTTTTTGATGACGTCGGTCCCTATCATGTAGGAGACTTTGTCAAAAATTTTAGGTATTTTTTTATATGACGTCGATCCCTATCGGATAGGAGACTTCGTGCCAAAACAACTAGAATTACGAATCACCTAATCGGTAAAAGAGAACAAATCTTGCGTGCTTAGGTTGATGATTACTATTGATTTCGCGAGTAAGATTGATCGCCTCACACTCGATTTGGTGAAAAGGGATCTTGGGGATTTGCGGATGAACCGAAAGCCTCGCCGTAAATCTCTAATGGAAAAGAAAGAAAGAAAATCATGGACCAAATTTGGAGTTTGAAGATAAACCTAGAAACCCAACTACGCCGTAAACGTGAAGAACAAAAATCGAGAATGGAAGAATTGCACTTTGAATTTCCAACGGGGAGATGAAGAAAACTATGAACATAGAAATTTAACCTAAAGGAACACAAAACAAAGAACTAAAAAGGATCGACCGATGATGAACCAAAATCCGGAAAACCAAGAACTTGAAGAACACGAAGAACTGAAACCTAAGAAAACCCAAAAAAAAAATGCGGTGATCAAAAACTAAAAATTAAGCCTTTTTGCTTTTGATTTTCGAAACCTCTTTACCCGAATTATTCTCCCTTTTTTCTCGAAATTCAACTCGTTTTATAGCCAAAAAAATTTCCTAAAATCGAATCAAAATCCCCGAATTTTTTGTCAAAATTTTTCCTCTTTAATTTATGATTAATTATGAAATCAAAACAGGAAATTCTCATTGATTCCTGTTAGTGTTGGTTTTGGCAACAAAATCCATGATTAATACACAATCAAAAACAAAAAATTCATGGAGGATTTGGGCGATTCTCCCAAAGATTTTCGGAGAGAATCGCCTTGGAGTGGATGACGGGTCATCTCGCTCCATTTTGGTCTCGTTGTTCGCTCCAAACTTCTAGTTTGGTCATCGCGTTCCAATTTCAGCAATTATGCCCTTCTGCGAAATAATTTCTACACAATCTTATCAATTAGGTCCCTAGAGGTGCAATTTAAGGCCTAAACTTTTTAATTGACTCAATTACACCCTTAATTACTTCAATTGTATCCCTAAATGATTTTTTTTCTTTTTCCTTCTTTTTTTTATTAATAAACTTCAAATTAAAAATAAAAATAAAAATAATAAATAAACATAAATAATAAAATAATAATAAATAAATAAACTAAAAAAAAAATTTGGGGTTATTACGGATATAAACACTTAAGGGCTTTCACTTAATGAAGTATGTTAGAGAATAATATAAATCATGTATCGGGATCTTGTCTAACGAGTTTAAGTTTTTAGATTGAGATGATTGTTTGATATGATATCAGAATCTTACAATCTAGTGGTCAAGATTTTAAATCCCACATATTCTCATTTTCACTTAAAATGATATGTTAGAGAATAATATAAATCATATAAAAAAAATCTGTTAAAAAAGAATATAAATCATATTCTAAAGTTGTTGTTTTTTTTAAAAAAGAAAGTATATAGTTTGAAAGAGCACCATCCTGTATTCGTCCTTTCTTTGCCTTTTGATCCCCAATTTCCTTATTTAAGGCTGCGTGCCGAAGCCTTTCTCATCACCACAATTCTCATTCATTCTCTCTTTTAGAAAACTCAGCAGCTACAAAAGGTTGCTACTCAATCTATAATTTATTTCTTGGCAATTTGAACTTTATAAGTTTCTTCAAATGCTCTTTTTGTAATACGAGATCTTCTTTTTATAGATTATTTCCTATCAATTCTTTGTGCAAATGATTTCATCGATATATATATAAACCCTATATTTAGCCCATAAGGAGTTGGTTCGGATGATAAGGAAGATTTATTTTATTTGAGTTCATATTATATTTGAGTCTTATTAGTAGTTTTATTTATTTATTATTATTTAAGAAATGGTATATTATGTATATAAATGTGTGTTACGATAGTATTTTTATTGATGTGTGCGGATATTAAAGACTCCCATTTTAAGGGAAGGGAAAAAAACCATGCTTTGTTTTGCTTCATGCCTGCCTTTGGTTAATTAATGAGTTAATTAACGATTTTGAGCATCTTTGTCTATTTTATAGGTGAAACCAAAGAACAGAAACAATGAAGGCGTTGCTTCTGATAACAATATGGGTTTGGTTGACTGTCATGATCATGCCAGCATTGGTGTGCCCATCGGTAATAGAAGAACCAAAGACACTCCGTTACAATACAGTAACCTTCAACTTTGAAGATGCTACCGAAGATAGCTACTCGGAATTTGTGAAGTCTCTGCGAACTGCAGTCAAAAGCAAGGAGGCGTTTGGATTACCAGTGACAGCAAAAACAGTACCAGATTCCCAACGATTTGTTTTAGTTGATCTCAAAACTGAGAATGACAAGAACATCACACTAGCAATAGATGTCACTAATATGTATGTGGTGGGTTATCGTGATGAATATAACGGGAAATTTCGCGCCAATTTCCTTGCTGATGCTTCTGACTTTGCAAAAAAGAATCTTTTTACAGAAGCAAAAGAAGTTAGAGTAACTAAATTCACAGGCGGCTATCCAGATCTTGAACGCTATGCCAAAACCGGAAGAGAGAACATTGAATTGGGAGTTTACAAACTAGAGCAAGCCATCGAGTCGGTCTATGGGAAATCGGTCGGGGAGCAGATTGAAGCTAAATTTTTCATTGTTTCCATCCAAAATGGTTTCAGAGGCAGCAAGGTTCCAATATTTACTGAATAAGGTACTCGAAGGAGGCATATACGGAAGTTATAAACCAGATCCCAAAGCAATTTCCTTGGAGAACAATTGGGATAAGATCTCTAAAGCTATTCAAACTGCTAATGCTTCATGAAATTTTGTCTCACCAAATAATTCAATTAGTTTAAAGGATGCAAAGGGCGACACATGTGTAGTTACGCAATTGAGTCAAATAAAGAACGACATGGGACTTTTGAAGTTCTTGGAGACTTCAGCAGGCCAAGCATCTCAGTTTTCTCAGCTTATGCAAATGGCATATATCTAATATCTTAACTAAATGGCAACAACATATGTTATGTAGTTGTTATTATTATGAAATAAGTGAGGTGTAATCTTGTTGTTGTGAAAGCCAGTGAGCTATAGTTCATTTGGTATTAGTGTCTCTTCTATGTTGTTAAGAGAATTCTAGTTCGAATATCTCTCTATGTAAAAATAAAAAATGAAAATAATCTTGCTGTGGAAACTATGTAAATAGAATAAAGTTAGTTATATAATATCCTTTTTATGTATTTAAATGTTATGTTTCTCTTTCGTTAGTAATATTTGATTTGAGAAAAATATCCTTAAATTTTTAAAAACATTACATATTAAAAGTACTTCTTTGGGAGATATTAACAAATTATCTTACCTAACATGGGACTCCTACTTTTATGAGTAAAGGATTGATATTTTTAAATATGATATAGCCTTTACATAGAATATTTTTTTCTCTTAAAAAGAAAATTATGAATCTACATTATGCCCGTACGTACATACATATTGATACATATTTGATTAGATAAAATAATAATTTTGCTATTTTATTTTACTGAGCTTTATATTTTACAAATTATAGTTTTTTCCAAATAATAATAATAATAATTATTATTATTATTATTATTAAATAAGGTATATGATAACCTGATTATTATTAGGGTTCGTCTATTTTCACCACGTGTTAATCTAAATCCACCATAAATTATTTACGAGTGGAGCCCTCTAGCTTTTCAAATTTTGTTTAGGCATCCTTTCTCCACCACATATTACTATACAGTTGCCAAATCAAAATTTTGTCATTTTTCTTTTATTTTCCACTAGTTTTTAGATCAAATCTCTTCTCTTATCAATTGATTAAAATGATTCTTAATCTATATAAGGACCAAGTTCGTAGATGAAACACAAACGAAGGTAATGAAGGTTTTCAAATCAAAGAGGTTTAATTCTATTCCAAGCACAATTTATTTTTATTTATTTTTTGACAAGTCGAGATTCAATGATAAAAAATATTAAAAAGGAAAAAAAAAAAAAAGAGAATAAATTCACGTTACAATAAGATAAGAACTCAATAAAGAGTTATTTGTAAAAACAGTTCTATGTTAACATAAAAAATACAATTTTCAAACATAGTACAATGGGTTATCCAATTCTTATGGCAATTTTTATTGCGTAAAGAGCTTCTTTTCTTCGATCATTCAGGACAAAATTTTCAACCTTTTACCCTTAATTCCAATATGATAAAAGCAAGATGACGTACAATGTTGATTTTCCATGCTATATATGAACTATCACAAATAGGATCATTACCCAAGTTAGAGAATACTTCAATATTGCTTTTGTTAATATCACTAATTTTGGCGATGGAGGATTACCAACATCATCATCACGGGCTATTGGTACTTCGCAGTCCAAATCGTTTAGCAAAGCAAGGCCTCTGATATTGACTCTGTGCCTGACTGCCAGATCTTGTTTTGGCACTCTAATTAACGAATGATTAGTGCATGAAGATGTTCCTCAACTTTGTCATTCTACAATATAATCGGTATAAGTTAATTAATGAAGTACCAGTCCATATTCATTGTCTAACGATTGTGGTGCTAAATTGTCTGGAAAAAGATCTGATTTCAATCAACGTTAAATATTGAAAAAAAAAAAAAAGAAAAGAAAAATGCTATTTTTTTGTAATTATTTATTATTACTGTTAAAAACAAGGCCTAACAACTTTGTGGAGTTTGTGGCACAAGTTTCTTGATCGATGGCTCTCCTGCTGTAACTTCAAATCAGAAGCAAAATCACTGCTGTTCTGTCACAGGGGAGGATGATAGTTAGCGAATGACTAAAAGCTGCTCTAGCGCTTTAGGCATAGAATCTTCCCTTCGTCCAATAATAAACTAACATAATTTCATATACCTAGAAGAAAAAGGTCAGAATTATAATTAGGATAAATAAGTTAATTTATTTTTATACATGGAGCTTTATTTAACTTAAACTAACATAATTTTATATACCTAGAAGAAAAAGGTCAGAATTATAATTAGGATAAATAAATTAATTTATTTTTATACATAGAGTTTTATTTAACTGTTTAATTTTTTAAATAAGATGTTCATTATATGTTCATTTGATAGTAAAAACGAATCGTGGAAAAGGGAAACTGCCGGAGCCATCTCCTCGTCTGCCTCAACTCTTAATATATATTATAGTAACCTTCAGTCAATTTATTATATTTTAGGTAAGTGTTAGGGTTATTTGGTAACAATTAATATTAGCCTTTAAAATTACTAACTTTATGAGATTTTAGTTAATTCGTAATACTTTAAGAATAACTTATAAGAAAATAAATACTATATATTTTTTTCTCATTCATGAGATAATAAAACATATATTTTTATTGAAATTATACTTCATCATTCGTGATTATCATAATTATCGTGGAAATTAGTTAATAATGAAATGATAGAATAAAATTTTATCAAACTAAATAAAATGCTTACAATATTGTTGCGAATTGAATAATAATATTCTTTTTCTTCGTTAAATGTAATTAATAATACTTATTAAATTGCGCAATGGCATGCGCAGTGTCATTTGCAATTAGAACAATTTCAGAAGTAATTAATTATATATGAAGTTGTAATTAATAATACTCATTAAATTTTTTTATTTAACTAAAGTATTTTCGAACTAACTTGTACTTCAATTAATATTAAGTCCTCTCAGAAAGATTCAGACATATTAAAAAACATATAATTAATTACTTGTCATTTTTTTTAAATTACTTTCTAGTATTATTCCTTTTTTTTTTTTTTTTTATAAAAATGAACACACATGTATATAAAGTCGCAATTTCTATACGTACTAACACCAATAAACTTACGAAAGTTTTCGAGGGGTTAACAATCTTCCGCCGCTAAAAAACTCGCACTTAAGCAGGTGTTGTCTTTCGGTTACAATTCGTCAGTCTCTTTCATTCACCAATAGTTCTACATTGTTGTCTGTTCTTGATCTTTCCAATAACTACCTTACTACTTCAATATATAGATCCTTGGTTCCATGATTTCAATTTCAATAATAGCCTTGTTCATCTTGACCTTGTTGTTCAACTCTAGATAATGCATTTAGAAGCATGATTTTTCTCGATAATCTTTATTTTCCTTTAACAATTTACGTAGCATTCCAAGATTTTCTAGGGATTTGTGTCCGTTACAGGCACTAGACCAGCATACCAGTAATCTCAAAGGACTGCTTTCTGAATCTATTCGAAACTTATATGGAGGCATAGAGAACTCACTAGAGATTTTGAATTTAGGTGACAGAACTTCTTGGTTCTTTGCCCAATATTACTAGATTCTCTTCGATAACGGAGTTGGACCTCTCTTATGACCAATTGAAGGGCCCTTTCCCTAAAAGATTTAAAGAACACTAAATCAAAAAAGGGTATTCCGGGCGGTTTTTTTGTCTTGTAGAGGCCGTTATAACCGCCTCTACATATTATAGAGGCGGTTTCTCGGACCAACCCAAAACCGCCTACAATGCCGTCGTCTCTACAATGTAGCGGCGGTTTTTCCAACCGTCGGAGAATTCTACGGCGGTTGGTAGAGGCGGTTACAACTCGCCTCTATATTTTTTCTCCGAGGTAGTTCGAACCGCCTCTACAATATAAATTTTATAACTTTTTTTTTCACGGGAGTATTTTTTGCGACGGTTGGGAACCGCCTCTACAATAGTGGAATTTATAAAATTGATGAGAAATAGTAGGGGCGGTTCAAACCGCCTCACGTGATGGATTTTTTAGAGGCGGTTGAAACGAGTCCCAAAATTAGGATTTGTAGGGGCGGTTGAAACCGCCTCAAGAAAGCATGTGCCTCAAGATTAGGTAGTAGAGGCGGTTTCATGTGCCTCAAGAAAGCATTTGGAACCGCCCCAAATTAAAAAATTTATAAAATTAATTTCAAAATTCATAGAAGCAGATTTTATAATTTATAAAGATGGTTATTTACCTTTCACCTTCAAATTCAATTATTGAATGTTAAAAAAATTAAAATTATATAGATACCATAATATTCTTAAATTTATAATTATCAAATTCTAAATACATAATAAGTAGTCAAACTTTTACAATTAAAACAAAACTAAAGAAAAAGTCCTCAAACATTTGCAATATTCTTAAATACTTGTTCGAAATACATAAACAAAATTCTAAATATATCTAGAAATAAGTGACTAATGTTTCATTTCGGCAAATGACTCGATTGTGATGAAGGATTAGGAGAAAGAGCATTTTAACCATTACTATCATTGCGAACCTATCAAGAACACAATTTGAAAGTAAAAAAAATATATATAAAACTAATTAAAAATATTTTAAGATAAAAAAATTAAATATTTAATTAAAAATTTATAATACCCGAGTAGGATTCAATGAAGTAGGTATTAAATTCGATCGGGATATCTCTCTACAATGAAAGCGATAATGACGAGTTAATGTCGCATTTATTGCATTATATCTAGATTCCATTGCATTATACTTGGTTTGCATATTATGTAACTACTCTTTCATTTCTTCTACTTCACTTGATTGATTTATAGATGCACACCTTGACCACTTTCAAGTTGAGATTGTATATCAAAGAAAAGTGTTGGTGTTAGACCCAAGCCTCTAACTCTACCATTGTGTTCTTTACCCATAACTTCTTGAAAAATCTCTTCATTTATATCATTAACAC